CTGATCTCATTAGTATGCTTTGACCTTTACTGGCTTCCTTTTGTGGGGCTAAGGTGACTAACACAGCTATTGCAAAATTTTATTTCTTTTGCCACTGTATCATATGTATCGTGGTACTAGTAACTGATTTTGCAGAATGTTTGCAATGTGAAGCACAGAGGTGTATTTGAAACAAACTTAAAGTCTGAAGCTTTCCCTGTTGTGGACATTGCTCAGGGCTGAAGTCTCACCTTTTCTGAGGTGAGCCAGGAGATCACGGATCAGGGAGAACTTATTCGTGAAGCTGGGCTCCACAGGTAAAGTGCCTGGAGCTTTCTCAATGATTGATGACCACTGATAGAGATAGTAAAAAAATGATTTGCTGAAAATCTGTATACTAAAACACAGTTAGGGGACAAGAGCACAGCAGATTTTGGTATAGATTTTTTTTTTTTTTTAAATTGTGGATTTTTAAAAGATTTTTTCTCTGCATTCGCCTGAGAGTTTTAACCTTAAAAAAAAAAAAATCACCAAAAAACCCACAAAAAAACCCCACCTGTTATTTGTAGAAAATAACTTATCGTTTTCACTTGTAGTTAATGGAAAGCTGTTTGGAACTCCAGCAAAACTGAACTGGAGCATGAAGAGATGGGTTAATAAATAGGCTGCAAGTAAATATGTTCTCATGCAGATGCAGCTTCTGTATTAAAACCTACCCCTTGTGTGAACAAGCAGAGTGAGTGTTGTGCATATGAGGGAAAGAGAAGATGAAGGTCTTCTGCATTTTTTTGTACCATGTTACTGAAAATAGCACAATAGGTGTTCCAGGTGGGTGTTGTAAACAAGACAAAAAGCAATAGCTGTTGTGTTTAGGATTTCCAGAGTAGTGAACAATAGGAAGGACATAAAAATATCTTGGTTGTTTCAGTTTCATCAAATAATAATTTATTTTTTCCGTCTTACTGCCAAGAGAAGTTTATTGGGTTTTCTCAAATCTGTTCCCATTTATTGCAAACAATAAACATTCTTTACTTAACAAATATTCCTACAAAATTTCTAATGGTAAAGAGGATGAAGAATATTATATAAAGCAGCTCAGAGGAAATATATTTAAGTAGAATAGAATTTGAGATTCTACACATATCTTTAACTCTAAAATGCATAATTCTATGGTTCACACTGAGCAAAGAATTTTTTTTCTATCTGCTCTCTTCCTTTTCTTCCTCTAAATATTCTTGAATATTTTATATAATACTGAAGATACAAAGGTGGAGTTTTGTTCTTAGCAACAAGTTAGGGAGAAGCTGTCTGTTGGGTGGCTGTGAAACAATATTCATTCAATGCATTCCTAAAGTAGGATTTTTATTTTTTTTCATATTCTGTAATTTATTTTTGTTGGTTTTTTTTTTTAATCAGATGTTGGAAAAAAAAAGTGTTTTATTTGATCAACCTTGCCTCCATGCTTCGTAAGCAATTTTATTGCTGATCAGGTTCTACAGACTAGAGTATATAATTACTCAGTAGTTTTGAAACCTGCCTCCATATCTTACACACTGATTGAATTTGCATATGAAGCCTTATAAAACTGCCTTTGAAAATCTTGGCTCTTGTAGCTTTACAACTCAAGTGGAAATTGTTTTAGAGCTTTTGCAACATACACTACTTCTATTTTTGGTAGAATATTATTTTTCATAACATTTGGCAATTCAGGTTACGTTATTGGCTGAACTGTGGAATAAAATTAATGCATTCATATATTTTAAAAAACCCTACAGGATGGTTGCACTTCTGGCAATGAAATTGCTGCTTGATAGAGTTGCCTTTTTTTGGAATTAGTGACTGACTGTGCATCACTATTATCTTTTCTTAAAAGAGATAAAATTTGATGAACTTGAAGGAGATCTGGAGGCACTTGCATTTTTCTGGGAGATACTCACTCCTATTTGGTCCAAGAAAATGAATAATAAAATCGCTATGTTTCTTGTCCATCTAGGGGTTAGGTGAGGAGTTAGTAGTAATTTCTATAAATCTCTGATGAGTATGATGCTTATACAGATTCAAAGACCTTTCTGTCTGTGATCATAAAAGCTGCTGATGTGATACAGGAGGAATGCATCCTCTTAGAGATTTCTTTTCCAGGTCTGGTCTCTACAAAATTCAGTGTAGGTATATTATGCTTGGTTGGTTAGTTTTTTAAAATCACCCCTCCCCCAACATAAAAATATATTTGTGTGGGGAACCTCTAAACTGGTTATGTTCAACATTGCTCAATGCTCCACTTCTTTTCAAGGTGAAGAAAAGACAGTGGGAAGCATGCAGATGATTTAAAAATAAAACTCTTTTTCTTATTAATTTCTTAAGCAGCAAAAAATGCTTACATTTGCCACCTTCCCTCTGCTACGTCAAATTCTCATCATGTCCATGTTTTACTTGACAGAGCAGGCCTGGAATAAGTTCTAAAGCAAAACCAAAAATATCCTTTCTGATCTTTCAGTAATCTATGCCATGGAGATTTAAGCCCAAGGTGCCTTGTTTGTGTTCATTAATTCTTAATGAATTCTTTTCTCTGTCAAATTTGGCCTACAGCTTTCTAACATATAGCAACTTCTAATTAATTCCCACTTTCAGCTTTGTTTCAGAATGGTGTGAAAGAGGGCATCCTCTTGTCTGTCCTGAACCTTGCCTCGGGTAGTCTCATTTGATACCATGTTGCATTATAAAAGAAGCATCAGTGTTTGTACCTTATTCATCTTCTTACCATTCCTGATTTTGCAGACTTATATCTGGATTGCAGGCCAAGCAGACCTTGTCAATTTAGCTGGTTTATGCACCAAACTTCTTTTGCACTTTGGATCATCTTACCTGTCTTTTTCTTATGCCTTTTCCATTTTTCATATCTCATTTTAAAATGAGATATAAAAGGACTCCACACAGTGTTCATTGTAGTGCGCCTCATAAGTTACTAAAATTTATGAAGATGCTTTGTCCTCCCTTCCTCTATTAGTAATTTCTAGCCTTCTATTTACTTTCTAAACTAACTTATCTCATGTTTTTATAGTATTATTCTAACCCCCAGATCTTGTTTTGGAATTATGTCATTTCTGAGTCCATCTATTTATGAGTATGTTGAACAAACAGTACAGGTTTCAAGAACACTTTCAACTCTTCAAAAGCTCTTGGGAGCAGCTGTAGAATTTGGGGTGTGAGAAAATTAACAAGTGTTTTAGTTTGTATGAACCATGTGGGTTTTTTTTTTGACGTGATAATGTCTGCATGATTCACAGGGCAGTTTTAATTAAAAAGCATTACATTCTTATGAAGCATACAACAAAAATATCTGTTGCAGACAGAGCATGCATGTTACTGAGTATCGCAATAAAGTAAGCTACCAGTGGCATAATTCTAGGATGATGTTTTGCCAAAATAAGTCTTGCATGTTTCCTTAACAGCAAGATTCTCCCTCTCCTCTCCAAATTAGAAACAGTGTAGTGATTGGAAAAAATGGCATTGCTGACTGAAAAATGGGAGCAACAATGCACTTGAGACTTTTGGCTTACAACTAGTTTAATGAACAGGAAAATGTAAAGAGGTTAAGCAGTATAGTGATGAAAGATTTATTAAACTTGCTTTATCTGGAAAGATTAATAGAATAGAATCAGGAGGCCTACTAGATTTTGAATGAATTAGATGTGAAGTGTATAAACTGCAAGCACTAATTCAGTGAAAGAGGCAAGCGCATCTAAAAATCCTCTCTGTTCCTCTGAGATGGGAAAGGGCATCTGATGATATGGTCCAACATTGATTTGAAGAAATATTGGATGTGAGATAAAGATCGTGTTGCTAACAAAGACTGAGAATCTAAAGGTGTAAATTTTTGTGGTGTTAAAAAAGCTGGGCAAAGATTATGTTTACAACTCTTCCTCCCATCAGAAAAACCTGTATTGGTCGCTTGCAAATGCCAGCAGTTCTCAAAGCTGTTTTTGTTTGTTCGTTTGCTTGTTTCCAAATTGTTGTTTCTTCTCTGTTTCTTGAATAGTTTGCATCCTCCTTATCTATAGATACTTCTGATTTTCAAACTGGGACTAGTGCTGCTTTTCCACATTGCATGAGAACTCCCGAATAAGCCCCATTATAAGCTGCCTTCTCATAGCTCAGTTCCTTGTGTGCTTTCCTTATTACTTGCTTGTCCCTTGCTCCCATTTGATGATTGATTTAAGTTTTTCACTCAGCCTCAAAATGCCTGTGCCTCCTCCACTCAGAGACAGACTTAATCTTCCCTTTATGGTTAGAGTTCGCATGGGCTTTAACACTATATTTTTCTTGTAACCTTTCCACAAAGGGAGATTTTGTTCCACTGTAAGGTCTTATGTTGTTGCTCTAATTGGTGTGTCTGACTTCATAATATCCCAAGGTTCAGGGTCATTCAGTGCTAAGCACATTGCAGAAATGTGCACTAATGACAAAGACAGTTTCTGTTGCACTTATTACAGCCTTTTGATAGTAGGTCTCCCACACTGGATTCTGAGGTAGTATTTATCATTCCTTTTCTTACTTCTGTTTATCTACTTATATGGGATTCTTTATTGCTGTATAAGCTCATCTGATAATTGGAACTCTTTTGGATTTTGTTTAATGTAATTATGAAGACCACAAGCTCACTAATAGGATGATGCTTTATTAAAATAGTTGGTCAACTTGAGCAAAACTTTCTTGGAGAGTATTTGAGAGCTACTTTCGTGGGCTAGGGCAGCAATATAGTGTCACGAGTCCACAGTCCTGTGTAAGCCCAACTGATAAGAATTTTAGGAAGGAGTGTGCTATTCCTGACACTATACTTTTGAAAATAGCGTTTCTCTCCAGCTACTGATGTAAGATTCCACATAAAGGAAGAAGTCTTCAGAAAATAAAACGAGTTAGTGCTACCTAGGTCTATCAACAGCAGCTGCTGCTTGCCTGAAGCCATGTGTATGTAACACATATGTTTCAGGAAAGGGGTTCATTATGTTCTTTTGTGTCTTTAGGAATCCGGAAAGACCGCAGAGGTGGGCGAATGATGAAACAAAAACGTCAAAAAGAGGAGCCGGATTCCAAGAATGGAGAGGCTTCTACAGAACTGCGAGCTCCCACAGTTTGGACAAGTCCACTGGTGGTTAAACATAACAAGAAGAACAGTCCAGCTCTGTCTCTGACGGCAGAACAGATGGTCCGTGCCTTGCTGGAAGCTGAGCCACCCATAGTTTATTCTGAATATGACCCAAATAGACCATTCAACGAAGCTTCTATGATGACCCTGTTGACCAGCCTTGCAGACAGAGAATTAGTGCATATGATCAACTGGGCAAAGAGAGTTCCAGGTAAGAAAAAAAAAAAGCCACAGTGGACTGTAAAAGTCTCTACATGACAAACCAAAGGAAAAGCAACGTAACAGTTTTCACCCTACATATTATATTTTCATACCAATTGTTCATTTAAGTGAAAAGATATTTAAAAAAAAAAAAATCACAAATTTTATGTTATATTGGTTGATAAAAGACTATAATGCAACTTCAGTGAATTTGAAGAAAGATTAATTCAAGCAAAGGTATTTCCCCACACTATAGAATGTTGGACATTGTTTTGATGGTAAATCCTTTTTTTTCCAGATAAAACCCAGCAAAACCAGATTACTAAAATCCAAATCTAATCAATTGGATTTAATCAAATTATTTTAATTATTTAGATCCCCTTTGAAAAAAAAAGAAAAAAAAAAGGTTACTCTCATGTCTGAAATGTAAGCCATAGACTCAGCATCATTACTGAGCCCATCAGTATTAGTAGCATTTATTTATTTGCCAGTTTATTTTTTAGACCATAAAATACAGATCTTCCATGAGTTTTGAGTCTGGAAATAAGAGCCAGAATAGCAGTTTCTGTCTGTTTGTTTGGGTTTTCCTTCCTACCGGAACTAGATTATTTTTTTCTGTATCATTCTGATTCATCATGGTTGCTGAGCTATTACTCTCCTTTTGTGGAAAGGAAGAGAACTATAGAATTGTGGGAAGTATGTAACATTTCTGGTTGAATGTATGTTGCGCATTCATTCATGTGGTTTAATTAATTTATAGCGATGAAATCAGAGAGTATCTTTAAAGTTCATCATCTTTTAAAATTTTAGGTTTATAATTCACTGGGATTCTGATCTCTTATGTTTCTTCTGTAGCCATTTATTTCACTAAAATTATGTAGCTGCTTTATGAAGAGATGTTAAAGAACACTAATACAGCTCTCAGTGATATAATTTAATGTATTACTTCTACAGCATTACACATGGGCTGTGCCATTTTTCTCTTTTCCTTCATTTAAACTTGGCAAGACTTTTCCTGGTAAATCAATAACCCATAAAATCTGAGTCTTTTTCAGCCCTCATGGGTTCCCTTTTTACCACTTTTCACATGTCACTTTGTGTGCTCCAGCTATGATCAATGAGAACCTGTGTTCATTTCATTTCTCATCGTATCTTAAGAGAAATCACATGAGAATTTTCTTCTTGACAAAGTCACAGTGGTTAAGGCGTGTTCAAGTCAAGGGCGGGTTCTCCTGTTAATTTAGGTATCCTTTGGAGCATGCCTCTAGAAAATGCTTTTGAAAAATGATCGTATGTCCAAAGTGTTAAACCTATTCACTATCAACCCAGATAAATCCAAATTACTTTTCTACTGATTGTAGAGATATAATTAGTCTAAGTCTGTTAAAATCCATTAATTTACATTTAACACAAATATGCTACGTTCTAAATCAGTTATGTTGTCCAACTGAAACCATTCTCTTTCTTTGACATTTGATTTTGAAATTTAATGTAATTAATGAAAATGTATTTAAATAAAAGGCAACTCTGTCAGGGAACTACAGTCTGGTTTTTATTCAAAATCTCTCTCAAAGTGCTTGTCACAAGATTATTACATCTGGTGAAGATCAAGAAACCTTCCTGGTTTACTAAATATATAATATATTTCCTAAACAAGCTTCTGAAATTGAAAAATCAAATGTTTACGGTTATTATCTATTTGTGTATATCCAATGTATTTTACATTTAAATATTGCCTGTTAGTTTTCAGAATAGCTCCTAAAGAGAAACTAAGCCAAATGACTCTGCATATGCATTAATAAGTACTCTGACAGGTGAGGTTTGATATAAAACTGGTGAACTTTGGTTAGAAAGAACCAAACAAAATCCCTTCCCACTCACAGTTTGGACTATTTGGCATTGTACAACTAATCATACCAAAGGAAAGTCATAAAGCAGGAGAAACAGAATATGAATAGTTTGGGGATTCTGAAAATGCTGTGCACCTAGCTAGTTCTCAGTATTGTGACTTGGAGGATAGTATGCACCACAGAAGGAGAAACTATTTTAGAAAAGTTGATTTGAAGTAATTCAGGCCCAATTGTTTACCTACCTCTAAAATCAGGTCTTCTGAGAGTAGGAATTTTGGAGCTAGGTGCTTGAATGTTTTTTTGATATCTCATTTGGTCCCTAGAAAAGGTTGAGTGCTCTTAATAGCTGATATTAAATCTTAGAAATACTGGTCAACTTGCAAAAATAGGGCCTTCGCTTTGACTGTTTGCCTAAGTTTCCATCTGGTGGAATGCACTGGCAATGAATGTGCATTAAGAGAAATCTGTCATATTTTCACTACCACAGCGTGTTGCCTTTGAATATGCCATTATTGTTAAGAATTATGCAATACTGCTTAATTAAAGAGGATTGTCATATACCTTATGCATTACTGGAGGAGCAGAATTACTTCTTTCTGTTAGGTGAATTATTTTGTGAAACAGCATTGTGGCATTCCACTCAGTTGTTTTCTCAGCTAATTTACGAAGGTTTCAAGCTTTGGAATCAAGGGTAAAAACATATTTTTCTAAAAAGCATATGTGATTTTTAGCAGCAGAAAAAAGCAGTTGCAGGAAACAGCCTCTCCTGTGCCCACCTCTCAAGCCTTGGAAGCATTGCATAAGTTCATTTAGCTGAATGCAGGCACTTAGCTGACTGAAAGCGAGAAGCAAAATCAATACGAGTAGCTGGGTTGAAAGCATATTTCTTGAGGAAGAGATTGATACTAACAGACAGAAATACAATGAAAATACAGCTTATAAACAAGTGTGAGGACTTTTAGGGACATTTTTTGAGTTTATTTTGCTGTGTAGGCTGTAAAGAAGAGGGAGTATGACAAGAAAACTATTAAAGACATTGTTTTGGTCAGCTCATCTCTCTGATGATGTACATAAGTGGTCATGGAAGAAGAAACAGCTAATTAAAAGATGCACTGAGTAGAAGTGACTCTATTCTACACAAAGGAGTAATGAAAATTAATTTATTATGGACTGTGTAGTATAATGTAGACATTTATCTGTTAGTAACTCATGCTGAGGACAATCTTCAAAATGAGGTATCTTTGGAGACAAGCCCTGATTGTGAAAATGAGGATAGGTCTACTAAATCTTTATTTCAACTTCAGCACTAATTCAAAATTGCTTACATTGACTTTGCAGTCTTGGTGATGGTAACAAGTTGCTCGAGAAAACAAGAACTTGTGGCAGCTTCTTGTGCATAACCTTCAAAAATGATCTTGAACATACAACACATTTTTTAACTGAGCTTACAACAAAATTCTCCCATGACATTTTGTTGTTTTAATTTTCCTTTGAAATCTTGGCCACTGATACAAGTGGGTTTGCCAGATTACATGAACAAAAAATCATGTACAGTGTCCTATGACATAGACAAAAAAATTCAGGATGCCTCATAGGACTTGCTCTTTACATGGCATAATGGGGATTTGGCTTAAGTCCTCCCAGATGGCTTCTGTGAGGCGCCAGTGGTGCCTTCTGATTACCCCAGCCAGCTGCAATAGCAAGTAGCTGCACATAAGGCAGGTGTAAACAGATTGTGATGTGCTAGACTTTGAATAATCATTTAAATTGAGCCTTTGACCATTTAATTGGGACAAATCACTAAAAGTCATATGCAGGTGAGGTGTCAATGTAGAGGAGTAAATGTTCTGCTAATTTCTGAATCATGTACCCCTGAAAGATATGTCTATTTTCTTCTTGGTTTATGTAACATATTGGGGATATAGTACCACCTTCAGTCTCACAGAAGGAGGTTTCATAGTTTAATGAATTTTAATCATGGTCTTTGTTAAAATGACCAAAACCATTATTTTGCTTTTCTACACTGTGTGTATCGTTTGAAATCTATTCTCTAAAGAATTATGGTATTTTTAGTGTAATCGTCAATATTTTTTTGGGGAAGAAGCTCGTGAGATAGTAAGAGACATTATGAGCTTATGCAGTGAGTTCATGGTAAAGAGTGTAGCTTTAAGGAAATTTTGTTGCAAGGGTGAAATCTCTGGCACTGCTACTACAATCTTGTATAACTACTACAAGCACAGTAGCTGTACAACTTAATAGCCCTAAAATGGTACGCTGGGCATACAAGCTTTGAAGTTTTGAGATAATTCATGGTGCTGTACTTATTTTATGGCTTCATGAACCGAGGAGATAAACATTTTGGCCCTGAATTTTTATTTTTTTTTTTTTTTTATTTCAAAGCCACAGAGCTTGCTATTTTCTTAGGATATTGTTTTCCTGTTTGACCTTCTAAACTGTTGTTTGTTAAATTAGGAACAGTGTGTAAAGAGGCCAACAATAGCTACAATTTTACACCGCAATTCAGTGACATCAAACTTTGGGGGGTACAGGGGGAAGAAATCAGCCTGCAGTGGAAAGAAAGAAGATCACAAGAGTGATCTGCGATAATAGCCCTTTAGGTTCAGGACTGTTTACAGAGATTCTAAGTGCAGTGATCCCCTTAGCAATGATTTATACTTATCAAAAAAAAAAGGAATGGCTTGCAATTCTTGTAATAATTTTTAATAAGTCTTCCAAAATATCTGCTTTATAGTCTCTTATCTTTTGATTAAGGGGCTTGCTGTGGAGATTTGTAAAATGTTATTAAAAAAGATACCCCTCTGCTTTATCTGTTTAGTCTTGTTGAAGTTATACTCAAACTGCTTCCCTTACTACATGGGGAAAAAGAATGGAAGTAAATAGATCTATAAGCAAAAGAGAAATGATAACAAGCATCTGGGTTTTACTTTACGGCTGCTTGAATTTAATTTCTGTGAAGTTTCAATTCATTACAATGAATGTGAGATATAAGAATCGGTCCTTATACTGGAATAAGGTAATTGCTTACCATTTGAATTTGAACATCAGACTGGGAGTTGTCATGCAATAACATGATTATGCAGGGCAGCAGAACTAAAATTGTTGAATATAAAATAAAGGCTTTCCATCCTCATTTTCTTAG